ATATATATGTACGTTCCATACGTGTTCTTCGCTGGTGCATAGTTGTGTTCGCTTGAATCAGATGCTTGTGTTAGTAATAAAATTACTGCTGTTAAAATATTATTACTGCTACTAATATTATCGATTATCCATGTATCGTATTTGTTGGATTCTCTTCCGTCGGAAAGACACGTTCCGTAGAATACCTTGGAAGAAGTACAAAGGCTGTAATCACCATCTTACCCGAAACGTATGCTACCGCGGTAAAGACTATCCAGACCGATTTAAGCGAGAGATCTTTCAATGAACGTTTCCATAAACGATTTAAACGAATATTTGAGCAGTACAATTGGACCGATAACTGGACAGAGGAACATTATTATGAGGAAGAAAAAGCGAAGTATCTCTAATTAGTATAGCAAATAAATTTTCTTATTTTGAAGAGCTTTCTTTCTCTATCATAATAAACGAAATAACCGTCCGCAAACGTTATATGATCAAATGACGTTCACACAAGTAAGGAACAACAAGCAGTGTCTATCTATAAAAGTCCGTATATATTATTATGTAGTAAGAGCAGCGGTATCTCAGATAAGAAGAATTATTGCTACTGCGGTGTAATAGAATAGAGTTTATAACAAAAATATATTATAGCCGATGACAATGCATTCCGTATTGTAAATTTCTCGCTATGAGTTTTTAAGGTGCGTTCTAAAGTATAATGACCTGCATAGAAGACTGTTAAAAGCACTAGTAAATGTATTGTTATTTACATAGGTTAAAATTTTTCATTTGCGAATATTGTACATGAGAAAGAAACGAAAACTTGTGCGGCAATTCTCGTTCTAATCAATGAACTTAATTGGAAATAAATAAGATTGGAAACTGCAAGTTTTGCACTGTGATTATTTTTATACTGAACACTAATAAAGGCGCAAGAAGGAGTTGAAAGTATTCTGTGTTACTTAGCTTAAGAAAACAAATAATCGCTCTAGCTTTGTTGAGCGGTAATAAATTATTTTCTACCTTCGTTTATTTACTTTTTAAATACAGCACCCAACAACATATTACTAGGCAAGATAATATGTTGTTAAATATATATGAAGTGATTAGATATAGTTACTGATGAATTTGGTAAATACTCAAATGTAAATGTGCAAGAATTATAAGCTAAATACGAAAGGAGATATTTTTTTATGAGCGTAAAGATTTTGGGATATATCTATTTGATCTTGAAAGCCTATGCACTGTAATCTCCAATCTATGACTAGGTCAAAGATGTTATGGCTAAACTTTTCAGTTGCACATGTCAAGTCAGGTTCTACACACGTTCGTAGCATTATTTTTACAGATGTAAAAGAGAAACACTTTCTTGGTTGCCATTGTGCCATATTCTGTCGGTACTTTGAGTATCGCGCTTTAAACCTATTTTTTTGTGGCCTGTTCTTTTAGGTTGATGACGAAGTGCGCCTTTGTCAGATAATTAGTTCCGAATAGAAGTATACTAAGTCCGATTGTAGCAAATGTTAATTTTTTTGCTAGAAGCGCAATCTGCCCTTAGTCTTCGCTCTAGATTTTGAGTACATACGTATATCTCATCTGAGATACAATTCATACGTCAGGCCCAAGTATTTGTCTTCGCTAAATTCTCCCATAACGGGTAATCATATTCAAACTTTTTGTTCAACGAATTGATCATAATTAGAGTTATGTGCACAAACGATGCTCCCTGATGTTTTTAGTGACGTTCTTGTGACGACTTTGCTTAGCTTATTACTCAGTATTTGGAAAAATATATATCTGTGGCATTTGCCTACACCTAATTCGTGCCCAAGTACTTTAGGCCTTGTTTGTGTTGAGATAGGTCGCTTATTTTATCATGTTCTCTGCTAGTTGATCTTTTTTTTGTTTTCCGTAATTTGGATACAGGTGTCGTTAGCGAAATTGCACTAGTTCAATACAACAGAGTTCATGGAGGTAACTTATCTACGTGTCGAGAAAGATGAATTCCATAACCGAATCTTGCAGGAATTGCTATTCGTTAACACTATCGAAAACATGCTCTAAATCTAGAGCAATCGAAGGGATTGTTTCAATGTGGCTTGCTGAAGGATCTCTAATTTTACAGATAAGTTTTATCGAATCATTGCTAAAAGGACGCCTAAAACCTAAAAGGCTCTTCGCTCTCGAGCTGGACGTTATCACGATTATACTTAGAGCAACATTTACCCTAGAATTGATAAAATTACTATTAATTAAGCATTGCTGTAAATCTAGGTAGATCAACTTAACAATTAAATAAAAAATAAATAAATATTATAATAAATAAATTAATTAATTAAAATCTGTACCGGGTCTTTATGACTGAGATTAAGTGTACTAGTAAACATTTCATTTTGTATCTATCTAGGTAAATTGGCTAATTTAATTAAATTAGGAGCTAAATTAGATGAGGCTTTGCTTAAAATAGAAATTTTCTTTTCTTCTGATGCTGTTTTAACTTTCTCTTAACTCTATTGAACGAATTAAGAATGTATAGAAAATACATGCTTAATTTGTCCAATTCAAAAGTGATCATTTACGTTCTTGATTTTTATATCAGCACGGCTTTTCGGTTTTAGTGCTTTTATGAGTATAACAATTACAGTTTACTTCGTGAGAAATTAGCGTA